TAACAATAATTGGTCTTTATAGCATTCAGATTGTTCTCCATTGCAAAAACAACATGGCAACTATGTAATAGTAATTTTTTTCCTTTACCTGCCCATGTCTAAGAATCTCACAATTGGTCAAGCCATCATCGCTACTGGAGGCTCTTCCGTCCTTGAATCCCATCCAGCGGACGCTGACATTTCTTCGAGTCCTTTGTTAGTTACAAATTCTGCAACATCAACAGGCCTTGTTGAGTTGGCGTCCAGTGCAAAAGAGAAAGAGGACTCTGTTTCAGACTCCACTCAAGTTAGCAAGCTTCAATTGGCCTGCATTGGGGCATCCTGTAGCGTAGCTGCTCTGCGTCAGTTCCTGATGCGCCTCACTTGTCTGGAGGCCCGATCCGATGAAGTGTGTTCGAAATTGTTGACTCCTTTATTTATCTGACAGGCTAATTATATTTGGATAATATAGCTAGTTTTATCCGTTTACTTTTGCTGTCAATTAGAGTGGAAAGTTGCCGTCATCTTTAGCCATTTTAGAATGCCATACTTTTACCTTGCCTCCAACAATGCTAAGAAATTGGTCCGGGTTGTTCTGCCATCTGGAGCCTATAAGCGACGTCTAAACCATTCTACTACTTCAGTGGATTATCTTATATTTAAAAGATAGACTCTTTCTCTGTCTTCTGCTAAATTATCTTAAATGTACTTTTATATCATCGAACTTTTCTTGCAAGCATATGAACCCAAGACTATTTGCAGTTTCTCCGTATTTTGACCTCTTATCTCTGCTTCAGGTTGAGCAAGTCTTATTTAATTCGTAGATAACGCTAGATCATTGCAATCCCTATTTTATAGTTTAGATGCGAGATTTTTTTTAAAATTCCCTGACCTTGCTTCCGAAACTTGGCTGCGATGTCACGACTTGCTCTGGGGTTTCAGAAATTGAATTAATTCTAAATCAAATCTATCTTTCTATGAATTCAAAAATGCTACTATTAGCTGGTGGAAACAGAGCAGTTTATGGCATAATATGCATTACGTATCTTGACGCCATCTTGATTGAGAGTTTACTTATTCTTAATTTGTTGATTAGAATCTGTATGATGCTTCATTAGGTTCGGAAACATCAATAGACCTTTTTATAGGAACTCAAGTTTTCCCTGTCTTTCACTGATACCCCGAGTTGTATGATGGAGTCGTATTATTGCTGCTTGACTCGCATTATCCAATTTCAGATTCCTTTGGATGCTCTGATAAGATCCAAGTTGATCTGATCCGTCATACAACCTTGGCTGAAAAGGACTTTGGTGGAAGAAGGCTAAGCGAAATTTGATGTCTTATAGATGGTTTCTGAATGGGAATTGCTTTTTGTCTACTCACGAGTGCCTTCTTTTGCTTCGTATTCAGATACATTCTTTCTTATTTGACCTTATCACCCAAGTTTTGATATTCACATTTTTGTTTTCTATTGGTATCTGTTGTACTATCACCCTATCATTGAAAGTATTTGCTTGGTTCTTGCGGTCTAGTAAAATGTGGACGTTGACTTTCGCTCCTACTTTTTTTGACCTCTACGCTTAACTGTTTTTATATATTGCTGGCTGCTAGTATACATCGAACTTGTCTGGCTTAAAATTCAAAACGTTTTATCATAGCCAACGAGACTACAGTATTGGCCCTATTGGGGACTTTGCCTGGTCCTTCAATATTTTTTCCTTACCTGAATTGGTCTTAAAAGTATTGTTTATAGCAGAAATTGTGGAAAGGTCGATCATTAATATGAGAAAGCAAAAACTAGTTGCTTATGTAGATAATAGATACTAGTAATAACCCTAGTATTAATAATCAACTGCTTTTGGCTCATGTAACGATATAGCTGGGGTTTTTTATCTAACTCGGAATCATTTTTTCACCAATATGATTCTCATATCTGTAATTAACCCTAGAAAGCAAACCTAATCGGTCTAACTGGTAAATTCGTTCAATATCATCCTACAGTTTAATTAAACGTAGTAGAAATATCTTTTTACCTCATTTTCGATGCTCGAATTCTAGGTTCTTGTTATTTTACCTAAGGCCTGATTTATAAATTATATACATTTATATATATAGGCTTACCCTTGAGAATGCCTCTATTTTATTCTATTATAGAGATCCGATAAGTCAATGATAAGATGAAATCTGTCGGATTCTACCGAGCAGATGGAGTTTACCAAGCCCCATTTCTTGATTTCTTTGCAGTTTTCCTGACCAAACTAGACTATATGAATAGCAAGCCTTTATACAGTGCTGGAGCCCTTTAAGCGGATGCTTGACGCCAATATTTCCTATACCACATAACCTCCAGTTTCCAACCCACACATTGATAAAGATATCATTCTGGACCGGACCGAGTTGTAA